ATTGCAGATGTCTCCTCCTACCAACTAGCCTCTGAGAAGTTTTTGAATTTTGTATAATCATTGTCTGAGATCATTGTTTGATACCATGCCTTGCTAGCAGCCTTGATTGCAGATGCCTCCTCTTGCCAACTAGCCTCTGAGAAGTTTTCGAATTTTGTATAATCACTGTCTGAGATCATTATTTGGTACCATGCCTTGCCAGCAGCCTTGATTGCAGATGCCTCCTCCTACCAACCAGCCTTTGAGAAGTTTTCGAATTCTGTTTGCCAGGAACCTGTTTGAGATCATTGTTTGGTACCATGCCTTGCCAGCAGCCTTGATTGCAGATGCCTCCTCCTGCTAACCAGCTTCTGAGAAGTTTTCAAATTCTGTATAATCACTATCTGAGATCATTGTTTGGTACCATGCCTTGCCAACATCCTTGATTGCAGATGCCTCCTCCTGCCAACCAGCCTTTAAGAAGTTTTCAAATTCTGTTTGCCAGGAACCTGTCTGAGATCATTGTTTGGTACCATGCCTTGCCAGCAGCCTTGATTGCAGATGTCTCCTCCTGCCAACCAGCCTTTGAGAAGTTTTCAAATTCTGTTTGGCAAGAACCTGTCTGAGATCATTGTTAAGTACCCTACCTTGCTAGTAGCCTTGATTGCAGATGCCTCCTCCTGCCAACCAGCCTTTGAGAAGTTTCCTCTCATTGTTTACCAAGAACCTGCAAAATTATCTGGCACACACCTGCAGCCACGTCAGCATTTGTAAATTAAAAAAAAAATCCAAAAAGTTATGGAGTGCAAGATTGAGAAGTTCACTTAGTCCGTCTCTTTCGGTAAACCTCTGTATAAGATGACACTTGCAGCATTAGCACCATAACCCAAGTATTAACATCAACATCACATAAACTACAATATTCAAAGTCCAACTTCCATACCTTTTGATTGGGTTCTGGTCACTCAAAACGGATCCATATGCCCCTGGAAGCACTCAACAGTCCAGCGTTCCCGACAGTTGCTCATTGTTTCGTCAGTCAAGCCGTCCATCGGGGTATTGGTCATGTCGAACTGAATAAATTTCAGGGCATATGCCCCACAATCAGCACTATAATAGGAAGAAGACATTAGCATTAGAATCAACTTATATAACAATTGTATTATGTAAGTTAGTTTTATACAAACTTTACCTTGACTCATTCTTTGAGACGGTAGAGTGCTTAACTGGCCACTTTTCGGTCAGTACTTGATCACCGAAGTGCTCAAACATCCCGCTGTCACGCAACAGCCGCGGGAACAACAATGACAGTGGCTCCAACTCGATCTCCAACTGCTTGTCTCGACAAATAGTGGGGTTGCAGTTAAGGATCTTCAGCAAACCTTCCTCTAGATGCGCGATGACTGCTATCCAATGCATATCTCTAACGTTAATGATGCAGTAGACTCTTTTAACCTTTGCCCAACTGTGGAAATATTTGGGCATTTCCCCCCGTACATACTGCATAATCTTGTCATCAAACTTAAAATCATCAGGGATGCAGTCCAAGTCTTGTGGGCCTAATCTTTTTCGCTTGGCTCATTTTGCTGCACCTCTACCAATGGCCTTTTTAATTAAATTGCGATATGTCAAAACAAGCGTTTGGCCAAACGCCACATCGGTGATGGCATAGTGGGGATACAATAGATCACCATTATTGGTCTGTCGTTGCCTTTATCAGTGCCAATACCTTATTGATGTGCTGCATCAAATAAAAACAACATGATAAGTATGGAAAACATAAGAAAAAATAAGGAAAATTAAGCGAAAATAACTCACCGAGTCCTCAAGCCACCTGCCCATCGTCAACAACTGTTCAAACCATTCCCGATGATAATCCCCTATCTTACACTCTACATGGGCATCACTTCCTAATTCATTGTAATAAGCATAGAAGAGTTTTTTATTTTCCTCCTCTATTGGCCTATACAAATCGACCTTTGAGTCCATTTTTGCTTGCCCACTTCCTCCCCCTTCCTCCATTTGTACATCCCCGCCTCCTTTGCCTCCCACCTCACCCTCCTCCATTATCACTGGCCCACTTCCTCCACTAACCTCCTTAACCTCTTCCATTTTTGCTTCTTCATCCATTTGTTTCTTAATTTTCTTCTTCTTTCCATGTGTTACTGCCGTGTAAGGCGATTTGACAAACTTGCTTTTTCGGTTCTCTCTTTTCAGCCCAGGTTGCACTTCAACCGCCTTTAATACTCCACCAACTTCCTCCTCCAGCGTACCAACTTTCTCTACCACCTTATCCACTTTCTCCTCCACCCTTTTCATCCGCTCTTCCATCTTGTCAAACTTGTTATAAACGGCTGTTGTAAAACTCTCAAACAAGCCGTTTATGAGATCAACCACCTCATTCTCCCGATGCCGACATCTCAACAAGGTGGTACTTGTTGTACCAGTTTGCTGAGGCATACGAACCTCTTCCTCCTTCTCCTTCTCCTTCTCCTTCTCCCTTTCCTCCTCTTCCTCCTCCCTCCCGTCAATTGGAGCTTCATCATCCTCTGCGTCAACCACGTTCTCAAACAGTGGCCCTGCAACTGTCGTCACATGCATGACCCCTACTAGGTCCCGCATCAGGCGGTCTATTCGGTCATCCCTTTCATCCTCCACTGGTTAGAAAGATGTGACATACTCTTGTTCCGCTTCACCCCCAGTAGCGGTGAGAAAGGGACGGACAACTATCTACAATAAAAAACAAAATCAATCAGATTGAAGCGACATTTTAAAGCAACTGCATATTCAAAAGCTTAATCCTTTAATCTTACCCCAATCGCTTCAATTTCAATGTCTATTTGGTCGTAATCCCAATGGGTACACTTCTCGACATGCCACTGCAACATCCTAGGAAATTGTTGTCGCACATCCAAACTCTTCCCTCTCCTCCCCCCCCCCCCCCGCCTTAGCGAAGACAGGGACGACCTCATACATCTAAGCCTACATTGTAAAAAAACAGTCCATATCATAATTCAAACACATATATTACAAAAAATATAACAAAAAGCTATTAATGTTTACCTGCATTGCCCATGGGAAGCCAAACAAATTATACGTGCTCGGTTTATCCTTCCCGACCCATTAGGACTGCTTTAACGCCATGTTTTTCCCTTGCAGAGAGTCCATGGTTCGCTTAAATGATACCCGTCCCTATGGATAAGAATTAAAGAAGTCCAAGTTGCTTGCAAACCTCACCCGATCCATATCAACGACTTTTGTTGAGTCATCAGCCACTAGGATCGAATGTAAGAACAATACCAAGCACAGTTTGAACTTCTCTGGATCGGTAAACAGAACTCTTCCTATAATCTGCTCTAAATCGCGTCCTGTAATAGACGCTTTCCCCTACAAAACCTTGTCAGCCAACCTTACAACTGCCCCACTCTCCTTTATTGCCTTTGCCTCATCCTCATCTGACATTTTTCCCACATCTTAAGTCGGTCACCAAGGCATATTCCATCATCCCAAAACGTAGTGACTTTCCATCCACCACGAACCACATTTCTTGTTTTTTTTGGCATTTTACTGAGTGCAGCAACATATAATGCACTCCCTACCCTCAGAACGCCTTTTTCCAATTTGTTCCGATTTTCAAAAACTGACCGAAACAAGTCTCTTTGAATCGTCGTTCACCATTCCTCAGTCCATCTAAAATCCCCTTTATTCTCTCAAAAACATCCCAACTCGACCTGACCGTCACCCTTACAAGGAAGTATGGTACATTCTCGCTTACAATGTCCAACTCGTAGTCTTTATAGTTTACGATCCGCACAATCTGCATAATCGATATAAACAAAAGCTTAAGCGATCTTAGATCTGGGCAGATGATTCTGCCTTGGACAAGTGAGTAAAAGAGATGAATCGCTTAAGCGATACAAATGATCGCTTAAGCGATACAAATGATCGTTTAAGCGATCTTAGATCTGGGCAGATGTTGATTCTGCTTCGGACGCTTAAGCGATCTGGAATCGCTTAAGCGACCATGAGTAAAAGAGATGGATTGCTTAAGCAATACTAATGATCACTTAAGCGACAGTACATAGTAATACTCCCAAAACAAATACGTACCCTTTCTTCGTCGGCCTCCTCGTCGCCTGCATTCTCTCCGGCCTTCTCCTCCTCAACAGACATTTCCTTCTCGACTGAATTCTCCCTGGCCTCCTCCTCTTCAGAACCATTTTGTGATTCTTCTCTCTGTTGTTGTGCCACCATCGTCTCCTCTACCTGTGGACCACCTTCACTGATCGGATGATCCACCGGAGTAGCCATTGAACTGCTTGCGCCACCGGACTCTAAGATTCCAAGTGGTGTTGGGTTTTTGTCCTCATTGTGAATGTCAGCCATGGTTTATGATTGAATTTGGTGTGAAAATTTGTAGTTTCGATTAGAAATCTGGACTGTATCGCCGAAAATCGTAGAGATTCCCTTTAGGGTTCAAGAAATCAATTTTAGGATTGAATTTGGTGTGAAAATTTACAGTTTTGATCAGAAATTGCGATTGTATTGTCGGAAATCGTGACTATATTCCGTTTAGGGTTCAACAAATTGATTTTAGGATTGAATGTGGTGTGAAAATTTGGAGTTTGGATCGGAAATCGCACAGTCTCTGTTTAGGGTTCAAGAAATTGATTTTTGCCCTAATCAGTTTCGATTAAGCGATTTGAATGAGTGGGGCAAACTTTTAAATTTCAAATTTTAAAAAACTTTCATTAATTATGATTTTTCCCACATATATTTTAATCTTTTTATTTTAACCAATTTTACATGTTTAATAAATCCTAACTATACCACGTCAGCTTCTCCAAATTAAAAAAAAATGAAAAATATATTCAAGGCCATTTTGTTAAATTGAAACTTGGATGGCCGAGAAGTTAAATTTTCTCTATTAATGTGTATATAAGTAAAATTAAATTGAAAAAGAAAAAGAAAAATACAAAACCCAACAGTTCAGAACTAAGAAGTAAAGAAGAAGCCACATCTGCCCGAACCAAACATCACTCTCACACTCCCACACTTACTTCTATTCATCCTCATCACTCCCCATGCTCCTTCACTTCCATTTCTTCCATCTCAGCCGTTGATTTCTTCCCCCAATCCCCTCGATCCCATGACCCTTATGTTCTTCTACAAATCTAGGGTTTCCACCGCCAATTTTCATCATCATGTCATCCAAGATCAATCACCACCACAAAATCAACGGTCAGATCTTCCCCCAACCATGTCCCCATCTCGCTGACTTCCGCACCCGTAACGACTCCAAACCGTTCCGGGCCCTTCAAGCCTGCCTGCACATCAAACCTCCCGGCGGTCGCGCCGCCATCCGCCGTGACCCGTACGAGGTGCCCCGTTGCGGCGCGTGTGGCGACGCTTCCAAACCTCGTCTATACGCCTGCATGACTTGTGCTTGCATCTGCTGTCACGCGCCTCCACATTCCTCCCACGCGGCGGCGCACGCCGCATCACGGTGTATACCTCCCGGTCACGAGATCGCCGTGGACGTGGATCGGGCCGAGCTCTTCTGCTGCGCGTGCCGTGACCAGGTGTACGATCGTGATTTTGACGCGGCGGTGGTGCTGGCCCACACGACGAGCTCAATCCAGTCGTCAAAACCTGAAAATCTCCGCAAACGACGACGTATCGATTACCGTCCGTGGAGCCCAGATTTACGAGAACGGGCCTTGATGGTTAATAACGCAAGCCCAATTGATAGTATGAACGGGAGTAACAGCAATCTGCCGATGGGATTACGTGGACTGAATAATTTAGGGAACACGTGTTTTATGAACTCGGTATTACAAGCATTGTTTCATACGCCGCCGTTGCGGAATTACTTTTTAAGTGATAGGCATAACCGGTACTATTGCCAGTCGAAGAATGGTGTTAGGTTGTGTTTGGCGTGTGACATGGACGCCATGTTTTCTGCCGTGTTTTCGGGGGATCGGACGCCTTATAGTCCCGCGAAGTTCTTGTATAGGTAAGTTTGTTTTGATGGTGAACTGGGTTTGTTATAAGTTAGTAGATGGGAGAGTGAGACAAAAGTTTGTAGCTTGTAGTACACACTGTGCGATTTTGGGTGATTTGGGGATTTTATTTTACCTTTTTTTTTTTTTTTTTTTTACTATGGGCAATTCTTTTGTTGGTGGGTAGTTAAGTGCACGTTTTGAAATGAGATGGATGGATGTGTTGGTTTTGTGTTGCAGTTGGTGGCAACATGCTTCTAACTTGGCAAGTTACGAGCAACAGGATGCCCATGAGTTTTTCATTTCCATGCTTGATGGAATCCATGAGAAGGTGGAGAAGGATCAAAGTAAGCCCCGAAGTCAAGGTAATTTTTTTTTCTTTTCTAAATAGTTGCAAGATCTTTGTTATATTGCTTTATGAATTGGTAAGCATGGTCTAGATTGTGCGAAAGAGAGTATTCAGTGAGACAGACAAACTGTACCATTTATCTTGCTTCATATATATTTCACTAATAAAAGCTAACGTCTTGATTAGGCGGATAAAAGAGAAAAGAAAATTGCATATATGACATAGTTTTGTTGGATAGGTGGATCTATAAATGTCAAACTTTATATTGAACTTGAATGGTGTGTGATTTCAATGAATGAAATTAATCAAAGCATCAGTATTGGGAAGGTTTAATGTAGCTTTCTGGGTAGCATCTTGGTTAGTTAAAATTGTGTTGGATTTTTTTAGAATGTTCTCACTGACGGCACTCTTGTAGTTCTCTTAATGTTTCTGTTGTTCGTTCTATTTGGATATTTTCTTTGATCATGCTTTAATTGTACTATTGCTTGTTTGTTTAGCTGAAAGTTGATATCTTGTCTTTATCACCTGACATATATATTATTTGTTGAGTTTAGATTGGAATTCAGAAATTATAATTGCTCTTCATTAGCAACATAGCGCATGATCAATAGATTGTCTAACTTTGAGGTTTAAGTGGAAAGAAGCTGTAAATAATTGCAGTAGCCTGTAGATGCTTAAGAACACATTTTATAATTCAATCTTGATTAAGTCACTGTGGAAAGTGATAAATTTTTTAAGCGTGGATAAAACTAGCTGTCACGCTAAGACCGTAATATCATCTATTTAGAGTGACTTAATGTGCTGCTAATCCCCCACTTTGTAATATTCTAGTTTTCTTTGTGATCAAGATGATCCAAAATACTTTTTAAGGATTAAGAAGTAACCACAACATTTAACTGCAGGGTGAGAGTTTTAGGTTTCTTGTTTGTTGCCCTAGGAGTTGCCAAGTGCTTCCAGATTTAGGGCTAATACTCAACCTCGAACTGCAGGCTTGATGATGTCATCTGCTTCACTCCTGTAAGTCAACTTTTCCTAGCCTACTGGTTTCATCATAGGAATTTCTTGTCTTCATGATTATCTTGTTAACTCAAACCTTTGCCATTTATAGGGTCTTATATTATGACAAAGTTGATACCAGTCTCAGAGAAAGAACAAGAGTTGCCTTAGGTTTTCTGCAAGGATAAATTTCCTTCTCAAAATTTGAGAACTTTGATTCTCATTTGCTCTTCGTGTCACACATCTTTTGTGCTCCCTCTAGTATTGGTAGAGATATTGGAATTCCTTTCAAACTTGATGAAGTTTCTGCTAATTCGCCGTATGTTTTTTTTTCCCATTTTCAAGTTTCTTTTGTCTCAACCCTTTTTTACTTAACATGTTGTGCTGCACTTGTTGTATTTTAACTTGTTGATAGTTGTTTTTTTTTTCTGACTACTGCGATCAGGTCTAGCGGTTCTCAGTTGTGTAGAGCATTGAGATAGAGATAAGAGGCTAAAAAAGATATTTCTTTGTACTGTGGCATTTGACTTTTGTTAAAGAGTAGATCTAATGCTATGTTTTCAGGGAAAAAAAAAAATGTAACTTTGTGTTGTTATTGTGCTCTAGGTCTTTGTTGACTTGTTATATTCATGGAATTTATGTGTGCCCTATTTTGTAGAATAGCAGAATTCTTGTACAAGGAGTATTTATATGATTTCAAACTTTACATGTCGTGGATAGTAAAGAATTTGCCAGCTGAAATATTGAGTCATTTGTCTATCATGTCAAATATTTTAATGATTTTTTTCTTGGTAGTGCAGGCAATGGAGAATGTTGTATTGCTCATAGAGTGTTCTCCGGTATTCTACGATCTGATGTCATGTGTATGGCATGTGGTTTCACATCAACAACATACGACCCATGTGTTGACTTCTCCCTGGACTTGGAGCCAAATCAAGGGGGTTCTGCAAAGACAGTGCCAAAGTCGAATCATTCTTGCAATGGTGAGGCAGATTCCATGAGTTCAAGCCAAAACTGTGGAATATCTACCTTGATGGGGTGCTTGGACCGGTTTACAAGACCTGAAAGATTGGGGTCTGACCAAAAGTTCTTCTGCCAACAATGTCAGGTTAGGCAGGAGTCTCTTAAACAGATGTCCATAAGAAAGCTTCCATTGGTTTCTTGTTTCCACATCAAAAGATTTGAGCATTCTTCTGTTCGGAAAATGTCAAGGAAGGTTGATCGTTATCTTCAGTTTCCTCTTTCATTGAACATGACTCCTTATCTTTCTTCTTCCATCTTAAGGGGTCGATTCGGGAATAGGTGTTTTCCATACGATGGGGATGAATCCGATGGATTGAGTGAACTCTCATCGGAGTTTGAGTTGTTTGCGGTTGTCACTCACACAGGTAAGCTCGATGCTGGCCACTATGTGACTTATTTGCGGTTAAGTAATCAATGGTACAAATGTGATGATGCTTGGATCACTCAAGTTAATGAGAACATTGTGAGAGCTGCACAAGGGTACATGATGTTTTACGTGCAGAAGATGTTTTATTACAAAGCAAGTGAGAAGCAGGTTGTCTCATGATTCGTCAAAGGGAAACTGAGATATAGCTGATAGACTCAATCACACAAAAGCAAGTAAAAGCTCGGATAACACCATTGACAACTGTGGTTAAATACGGAATTGTGAATTAATCAAATGCCACGGCTAGATTTTTGTATACCATATATACAGATTTCTTCGCGTTGCTATACTCATCAGCAGAAGACAAGCTGATCGATTAAGTATTTGAGTGGAATTTTATAATTCTCAATTGGAGTGTAAAGTTAGCCTAAATTTTTGAGGCATCAGAATATTCGAGAAAATTAATTTAGAAAAAGGTTCGGATTCATTGAAAAAGGTTTCTGATCTGATCTTTTCTTTTCCATTGTTTGGCAGTAGTGGTATTAACCATGAAAGTGGATTTATGTTTTGAAGCATAAGATTCAATAGCTTAGTTCATAACACATGTTAACATTGTGTAGTACATTCAATAGCAGATATAATAACATATTTCAACTGATCTGCACAGATTACATGAGGGCTTCTGAAATCCAATCTGCAAGATTAGCTACCACAAAACCTAGGAATACCTGTAGGAAATCGCCAAATTTATTAATTTGGTGTCGTAATGTTGAATTGTAAGAGGAATAGGGTTTAGATTAACCTGAACTGATCCAATGATATAAAGAAGTGAATAGTGTTGAGCATGTCTTCCACCAGGGCTAGTGGGACTGTAAGAGAAACACCGACTGCTGCCACCAATGGTGATGTCCAAACTACCCCTAATGCCCTGTCACCAATTACTATGCCATGATTCATCTTCAGAAAAATATTCATAAGAAAAAAAAAAAAAAAAATGGAAATTCACAACATTATATTATACCAGAAATAATCAGAAAGAAAGTTTCCAACAAAACCGTTTATGAGAATTATCTGTGTCATTTTGGCTGATTTGGGAAATGAAAATTTAGGTTCAATACCCATGGCAGTCAAAGGCCAAGCTGAAAACCAAACAAATTGCTCTGTCAATTTGCCTACCACCATTTAAACATGTTATTTAACTCTGCATCATTCATATATTTATGTAAATGAAGTTATTTACCAAACCACCAATAGGCAACAAGCGAGAATATTCAAATATACCCAAATAACATTTGCATGTCCACCCTTTCTCCTTTCTCTCCAGAAAACTTTTTAAGCAACACTGCATGCATTATATACAACTCTTTTAGTTTATGCTAAACTGAATAATATTGAACATTCTATATGTAATACGAACATTAATTTCAAGAACCTGTAAATAGTCCATAAGTCATAGCTGAGAGTAGCAAATACATCTCCTTCAAGAGAATGGTTCCTGTTGACCAGCAAAATTTATTTATCAAATTAGAGGGGGAGAGAAAAGGTCATACATTGCTTGGATTGAGATTGATCTGAAGCCCATGTTTTCCCAAGTGTTGTCATAGCAACACCAGTTATGCTGATTACCACGGAAATTACTTTGACTAATTTGATTTTGTCTTGGCCAATAAGTGCACTTATTAGAAGAGTGACAAGTCCTGATGTTGAACACAATAATGTTGTAGTTGCCACACTCGTTCTTGACAGTGCAGCATTTGTCAAATACTGAATGCCAAAAATAACAACACTTAATATAAACATTAGTACTTTCTGGACACTAAGCAATCTCATAGAAGAAACCCATAAAAGGATATCATGTCAGTCTCAGTGCTCTGACCTCTGTTAAAAACCAGTTAGGAGCAATGCCAAATCCAAATGTAGCAACTTACTTTGCGCTAAGTTTACCCTCTTGTTCTAGAGTTTCTTCGTTATCTTTGCTTTCAAATTCTTCCTTAGCACATATGTTTATTGCACATTCCTTTACATTAGACGGTGATCCATAAGGTTTGGCTTCTAAATATCCATGATGAACACGTGAATCAAGTTCTCTAGAGGAAGTTCTATCGATATCAACCGTTTCTGGCTCTGAACCATTACTGCTTTTACTAGAGGGTCGTCTGAAAAACTTTCGTATCAAATCCTTGAGGATTGCTAATGGAAGATAAGCCACCAAAAGGGATGTTCCAAGATACGTTACTGCAAATGGGTGGTCATAATTTCTGAATACACCCTGTTGAACAAATATATTTAAGTTAGGTAGTTAAAGTTTCAGCACATGAAATGAGAAAAAGGATAAAGAAAAGAGCAAAATCTGTAGCACTTGTTTTTAGTGTTCTTCTATATGAAAGGCTATCGGGTAAAAAACCTGATATACACAAAAAGAGGCAACACCCTTAGCGGCAAGAGAGCAAGTAAAAAAGACGGTGATTGGTAGATTTAAATATCAGTAGAAATAATAACAAATCCAGTATCAACAAAAGGAAATCATGGTTACCAACCAACGTGGATACAACATCGATCATTAGTAAACGCATTCATATACATGTATATATATATAAAACTTCTAAACTTCACATTTTGGTCCAAAAAAGTAGTTAACTTTGTATGTCAGCGAAGAAATTATCTGATACTACAAAGATTATCTCTACAATTATGAATGACTTGTGCTTCTTATCAACACAACTTATAATGAGGTCATGAATAAAGAGAAAACTGACCTGGGTAGCCTCTGCAGATGTAGCCCACATGATGAGAACCAAACCTCCTTTATATTTCCCATTACCCATCTCTGCTTAATTATAATAATAATTTATTTCCTTACAAATGGAAATGGAAATTTTGCAATTTCTACTCGAGTTTATCCGCTTGCTGGGACGTACGTCAATATTTATATTCGTTGAGAGAATGAAGCAAATAGCACATGGTGCCTGTGCCACCCTCTTTCTGTTGACTCATACAGTCGAATATATGTTATTTGAATTTTGGGAAAACCTACTACAGAGAAAAAAAAAAAAAAAAAAAAAAAAGAGTTTTAAAAAGTATTTAAATATAAATTATTCTTTTTAAAAAGAATTTATTTGAAAAGAAACTTTGTTACTTCAGTATAATATCTGAAATTTACAATATTGAAAAAGATGAGAATACAGCAGAAATTTCTCAATCAATCATCCATCTTGATTCAACAGTTTCAGGAGCTGCCGAGTTGATGATTAAATTTTAATTCTACTCTTAAATCTTAATGATTCAATTAAAATATATGAAAAAGCAAGAATTTATGTTTATTTAAAACAAAATGGTAGAAGTTAGTGGAAGTCAGTTTCATTTCTTTGTAATATGTCTTAATAAGAGAAAGTCTTGAGTATAAGCCACACTAAATGAGAATATACCAATTATTTCACTGATTTGGTATGAGTATTCTTTTATGATTTGGTAAGTTGTTTTAATGGATGCTATAGTATATATATATATCATCACATAATGTATCACAAATCCCAAAAGACTAACATATCTCATAATTGAATCTCTTTAGGTTATTAAAAAATAAAGAGATATTTGGTTTAGATTTACAAGTTTGGTATAAAGATGAATAATATACACAACATATTTGATGTGGGCCCATAACTTACTACAACAAAATATGGTTGGTTTAATTTGAATATTGCACAAGTACCACTTTTTTCACGTAATAAAAAAATCTATCAAATTGGATTTCGTTTTCAGTTGTAATGATACGCTGAATTTGGATCTCTTTTATTCTATTTGGAAATCATATGGTTTTAATTTAAAATATAGAAAAATATGTCCAATTATCAACTACATCCAAAACCACTCTAAGCGCATATTAGTGTCGTACTCGTATCGTATTGTTATTTGTTAAAACACTCATTTTGTTCTTCGTTTTCCCCAAAATGCAACAACAAACAAAATTTACACATCCATCTATTTCTGTCTTATCTCATCTTTCTCCTTCTTCTTCCACTTCTCAGCCTCACCTTCGTTATCATATCACCATACCGACACTCAACTCCAACTCGCCTTTCAATTCTATTATTCGAATTGATTAGTTGAATCATTGTTGCTCGCCAGATGAATTTTCGTCGTTTAAGCGGCTCTTTGATTCTCGTTGCCCTCTAAATTTCACCTTCAATTTCTCCGTTTTAGGTGATTAAGTCTTATTGTCAATTCATTTTCTTTGTTGCGGTGGCCGTGGGTTTTAATTTCACTATTTTTGTGATTGTAATCGTAATTTTTTTTTTTTTTGTATTTTGTGGATGATTTTAATTGTCGTAGTTTTAGTATCATTCAGGGTGAATGAAGGGTGTTAGAGACTGGGTTTTCTCTCAGTTATTATCAAATTCACTGGCATCATCTAGGCCCTTGTCAACCGGTGGAAGTCTCTTTCGTGGAGGATCGCCTGATGAAGAATTTGACGAGCGAGGTATTTGCATTTTCTCTTCCCCTCCTTGTTTTAGCTTAACATTTTATCTTTTTAGGATGAAATTATGTGAAATGTGAATTTGCACTATGCCAACTAGTTTAGACCAATTGCCAAGTATCGTATTGATATCTTCCTCTTAGTTTTCTAGGTCATTCCACTGATGTCAATTGCCCTTGTTTGTCAATTGGATTCCTAGTCACTCGGTTATATCATTATTCTACCCAAAAACAGTATTTCAGGTGCCTTACTGTTTGGTTTTGTTTTTGAAATTATGTTCTTCAATCATGTGTTCTTTGGTTTTGGGTTGTCATGCAAGGAGCAGTTAGTATTTCAAACTGATGGATAGTTGTATAACACCATATTTCTGTGATGGTTAATTAAACGAAAGATGGTAAACCAGTAATTATTCTCTTGGAGGCATTTCTTTTTAACTACATTTGATGTTTTGCACCAAGGAATAACAACTCTGTTGAATTGTCAATATATTGCTTGAGTATTTCCGGATAGGGCTCTACCAATTCATGTGTGATCAAGTTTTTCTGAGTTACTTCTTCAAACTTTATATGTCTGAGGAAACATTTTATAAGGAGAACTCTGATATACTTATGTCTTGGTATTGACCTGTCTTGGACTTCTGAATGTGAAATATGTCATTAATAGAGTTTTTTTTAGCATTTTCGAGTCTGTGATACTGTTTTCTTGTTGCTTTTTTACTCTGAATTGATAGTTAAGTCTGAAATGCAAAATGTTCCTCGTGGTGTCCGTACTTTTTCTTCCTAGATTAGCTGTGTTGTCTAATGTTGTTATTTCTATAAATAATAGCACCATCTGAAATGCAAATGTCCTCGTGGGTCCGTACTTTTCTTCCTAATTAGCTGTGGGTCTAATGTTGTTATTTCTATAAATAATACACCATCTGGTGCTCAGGCTCTACATTTTCAAATTGTACTGTGTTGATGATATATTGGTAAGAAATTGCTCGAGTGTCATGTTCCAATTTGAGTCTCTGAATTGAGATTTTTTTAAATTTTTTATTGGCTGTTGTTGCATATTTTTGAGAGCTTATCATGTCGTTATTTTCAGCTCACCATCCATTTTGCTAGCACCACCAGTGTCTCCTGATGCATCACCGTTTCGTGATTTAATCAGGGTTATGGGCCTCATCAATCGCAGCACAAGTTCAAGTTGAAGATTCTTTTCAATCTAATATTCATAATGCTGATCGGAAAAAGATGGGTTCTTGGGCAAAGGTTGAGGATCTCCAAATTATTTCTTCCGTCTTATACAACGTGTTGGCATGGACACGATGGTCTCCTGGTGGCTAAAGTTTTATATCGGATACACCTGGCAACTTGTTACGAGCTGGGGAATCAGATATAAAAGGTCAACCTCAGAACTGATATTTAGAGCAATAGCAAAGAGCAAGAGGTGGCAGGTCTGCCTGAATTAGATTTTCTCAATTAGAATACTTGTCCTGGGAAAACGGGGTTGGTAAGAGTGCACAATAATTCTGTTTTGATCAATAAGACCAAGACTGATGCATTTCAACCAGCAACAATCACATTCGAGAGGTTGTGGGAACTGTTAATGGGATAAAAATACCTTTCATTGATACCCCTGGTTTCTTACCTTCTTCTACAAGGAGTATGAGGAAAATAGGAAGATTATGCTCTCTGTCAAGAAGTTCATTAAAAATCACCTCCAGACATTGTTTTATTTTTGAACGCCTAGACACATCAACATGGCTACATTGATTTTCCACTTCTGAAGCTAATGACTGAAGTTTTCGGTTCTGCATTTTGGTTTAACACTATCCTTGTCATGACTCATTCTTCAACTCTTCCTGATGGACCCAGGGTATCCTGTTAGCTATGAATCATAGTGAGCCAATGTACAGATTTAGTACAACACTCCTACACCAGGCAGTATCTGACTCAAGAATTGAAAACCCTGTGCTTTTAGTGGAAAATCATCCTCAGTGTAGAAAAAATGTGAGGGGGGAATTGTATCCTTCCAATAGACAGGTTTGGAAATCTCATTTCTTGTTGTTTCCATATGTACCAAAGTTCTTGGTGATGCTAACTCCCCTGGAATTTCGAGACAGCATCCAATTGGGGCCCTTGAATACCCCTTCCTTCTATGCCTCATCTCCTTTCATCTTTTCTCCGTCATCGCTCATTGTCAAATCCAAGTGAAGCTGAGAAGGAAATGGACGATATTTTGTTTCGGACGGATAAGAAGATGAGTATGATCATTACCATCGATAAGAATTCTGACAAAAGCCAGTTTGAGAGATTAACAAAATCCCAAAAAGATCATATCTTGATGAGCTTGATTACCGAGAGATTCATTTTGAGAAACAGTTGAAAGAAGAGTCTCGAAGGCGGAAGGAGGTTAAGCTTTCCAGGGAGGAAATTTCCCCAATGACAATAATACTGATAGTGAGGTATATCCAGAGGCTGTCATGCTACCAGATAGGCAGTCCCTCCTAGTTTTGACTCAGATTGCCTGGCCTACAGATACCGCTGCCTTGTGACAGTGACCAGTGGCTTGCAAGGCCTGTTCTTGATCCCCATGGATGGGATCATATGTTGGCTTTGTGGAATAAATTTGGAGACAGCTTTGGAAATAAAAAATGTCTTCATCTCAATCGCAGGTCAGACAAGCAAGGACAAGCATGATTTCAGTATTCAATCCGAGTGTGCTGCAGCCTACATGGATCCTATGGGGCCTACTTATTGTGTTGGTCTTGATGTTCAATCTGCTGGTAAAGATCTGATATATACAATTCACAGCAACACAAAAAGAGAATCTCAAGCAGAATGTTACTGACTTGGGGTTTTTCTTTGACATCTTTTGGAAACAAGTATTATCGGTACAAAACTTGAAGATGCCTTACTGATTGGGAAACAGCTAAAGTTGGTAAGTGAATGCCGGCCTAATGGGGGTGAGAACAAGTTGCATATGTGGGAGCTTAGAAGCAATTTTAGAGGGAGAGCTACCCTGTGAGGAATGACAACATCAGTTTGACAATGACAGCTCTCTCTTATAATAAAGAGCTAGTATTATGAGTTTTCCAATCCGAGTTCCGGCCAAGTCGAGGCATGAAAATGTCCGTTAATGCTAATCTAAATAGCAGGAAAATGGGACAGGTTGGTATAAAATTGTCTAGCACTGAGCATATGGAAATTGGTTTGATTGCAGTTTTTGCAATTTTCAAGGCCTATTCCGCAGAAAGGCATCGGAAGCAAAGGCCAGAAGCATGGAGAGAGGATAATTTTCCTCTTTTGGTACTAAGGAGAATAGAGAAATGAATTTTGTGGTGCCCTGTGCCCATTCCGGAATTTTTACTGTAACTTTTTAGGCGATTATTTGAGAAGTGTCACGAGAGGATAGATAGATACAGTTGCGTTTTAGTCTGAAAACTTGTAAACCTCTGATTTGGTTTTCACTCAGAATGCTTGTTAGAACGCTGGTTATGGCCACAGAGGTTACTATCAGGTAAATTGGTGATAATTGTACAGGAAATCACTGAAGATGATTTTTTTTTTGTTTCCTATCCATGTAGTAAGTTATAGAAATAAGCCAAAACCAAACTCTTTTTGTTTCTTCTTCTTCTTCGTGGTAATAAAATTAGTGTTTTTGCAAGCAGTGTATTTGATTTCAATATGATGAGTTGGGATTGTGTTGAAATGGAAGTGAGTATGGTTGATAGAATTGATCGTAGCTTTATCAAAAACTGGAGCAGGAGTTGAAGATATTGTTTAACCTATTATCTATTGTTGTATTGACACAGACAATGAGCATCTAGTTCCAAGAGGCTTGTCTGCTTACTGCGTAAGCTTTGATTGATTGACACTCGGTGCAGAATGTTTAAGTGGCATTTGAAAATAGTTCAAGTTGAGAGGAGTATAGAAATGTCAATACTCCCAATAGTTAGTATATTAATTAGTGAAGAAAAATCAGGGCGATGTTTGAAGGGTATTTGGGTCTGTGAGAAATTGAAGCCATAACCTTTCTCTCGAAAAACTTATTTTTTCACCTTCTTGAATGTGGTACGTGTCTTAAGTGAAAAGATTTTTGCCGCTTACAATTTTTATGTGTCTTCACTCAAATCCATAATTGAGAAATTAAAGGGGAGCACAACTTACTTTCTCAAGTTGGACCAAGGGATTTTTCCCTACAAATTAGTGAACGTGTGATATTTTGTTTTCAATATGAGCAAAAAGCAAGAGTTTATAAATCTTGACAATTTTTCCTTTACCAAAAAGAGTAACCATTGAAGATTGATTTCACTACAAACTTTTGCCCATCATTGTGAAGCCATTGGGCAGTGAAGGAAATGGTCAGGGATTCTGCATCATTTTTGCACATACACACCAGAGGGGGAGAGACTCATTTAATGGTACTTCAATTGGATGAGATGATATCAATTGTATTGAGTTTTCTTGAACCAAAATTCATGCAAAATCTTGAACTTGGGAAGAACTTTTGCCTTCCAAATTGAAAATTCGATGTTTAGCTTGTAGCCGAGTCAGTGTCCCAATGGAGCTTGGACTACTGTCGTTGAGCCGACTGTTGTTGTCAGTGTCTTGATGACATCCATCACATTCACTTGTGGCTCAGTCGATGGAGCGACTAAAGTCCTCGCCATATTTGGTTTGGTAAGTTGTCGTGTTTGCTAGTAGGGAGTTTGAATCTCCTCATTGATGGTGTCTAGGTTGTTGACGCCGACGTCGTCGGTACAGTTGGCATCAACCCTACTTTTGGATCTAGTTTTTTGAGTCATTTGTGCAACTCTGAAACAAGGCTAGTTTGCCGAGAAACTCAAAGAACTTGTGAGGCTCTTTTTCTAGCATCAAACTGTTGATGTTTTTTTGCATTAACTAGAAGTACACAAGACTAGAGGAATATGCGTAGGATTCTGCTTAAATTCATAGTTTTGGTATTGGATTGATGGAAAATAATGATCCAAAACAACACACAGAACAAAAGGATTT